GCCAAACAGATCACTCTTTGTTTCATCAGACCAGAGAATCTTGTTTTAGCAAAATATCAGTGGAATTTCACAAGTCTTGCACTAAGGAAAGGCTTTTGCCTGGAAAGTGTGGCATAAAGGCCAGATTGGTGGAGTGTCGCACTGTCCACAAGATTTTACAATCTCCACAAATGAGCTCTGGAACTCACCCAGAGTGAACATTGGGTTCTTGGTCATCTTGCTTACCAATGCCCTTCTCCCACAATTGCTCAGTTGTACTAGGAGGTCAGCTCTAGAAATAGTCCTATTTGTTCAAAACTTCCTCCATTTAAAAGAATGATGGAGGCCACTGTGCTCATAACCTTTGTGGCGTCCACCCCAAGAGTATGTGGGGTTTCACCACCAGAGATGTTCTTTTCCCCCTATTCAGAGTGATGCTATCCAAATCCCAAGGGCGGTATAGTTTTGTAGCTCTTATAAGAGCTGGTGATTATAGCGGGTATAGTAGTTTCCAACAAACATGAGATGAGACTGTATGTTGAGGGTAAGCAAGACCTGATTTATTGGTAGCCACACTGGCCTTTTATGTCAATCTCCATGCAAAGGGCACTCCCCTCTGGACCGGAGAGTAGACTACAGTAAAAACATATACACAATCACATTGGCTCTCAGGTCCAGGACACTCCCATACAAAATAGGTTGACCTCTCTGTACCTGGGAGATAATTGAGTGTGTCAAGCACTGTACTAAACTCAATTATATCCTGGCACAGAAAACATGTTTTTACAACATATTAAAAATACCCCCAAAACACATAGCATAGCATGTCTAGGAAGTATATTGCAGAGGAGACTTATGCCCTGTTAGCGGCCGACTCAGAGGTGACCGACACTGCCTCAGAGAGTGACGCAGGGAGTGATGCAGAGGACGCAGGGGACAGGGACTTTGTGCCAGATACTGCAGGACCATCAGAGGAAATTGCCGATTCCCCTAATGCTAAACATGGCGCAGATGACTGGGTACCAACTAATAATTTTTCCCCAGACATCCCAGAGTTTACAGCCAATCCTGGCATACAGGCTGACCTATTTGGCTATGTTGCACTGGATTTTATGCAGCTGTTCTTGGGGGATGAGATTCTTGGGGAGATAGTCACCCAGACTAATCTGTATCCGGAGCAGTATCTGGCACGCAATCCAGACTCTCTTTTCTCCAGCAAAGAGAGATGGAACCCAACCAGTCTGCCAGAATTGAAACAATTCCTGGCACTGACCATGTTAATGGGGATAATTAAAAAGCCCACAATTAGGATGCATTGATCTAAACATCCTATTTGCAAAATCCACATTTTTGCCGAGACAATGACTAGGGAAAGATATGAAGACATACTGCGATTTATGCACTTTAGTGACAATAACAAGTTCCCCCCAAAAGGTCATCCGCAGTATGATCTTCTTTATAAAATATGCCCTCTAATTGCCCACTTTA